CGGGGGCCGATTCCGCGGGGGCGGAAATCGGACCTCCAAAGCGGGGGGAAATCAGCCCCCCCCCGGGGGGATTTGGCAGCCCTAGCCCTAGTTGAGGCAAGTTAGACGTCCCTGGGTCCGGGGACTACCAAAAAGTATTGATTTGTGGACCTCAGTGCCCTCCGGGGCTCATATAGGGAGAGGGGGTCCAAAGGTATGCTGGCCCCTGGCCGTATAGGGCTTTAAAGGTGAGTACCAGCACTTTGAAACAGATCTGGTAGTATACCCTGTTGGGGTTCGTTCTCCATTCTCGGCTCCACCCCCAAATCTCCAGGAGTTGGCAACCTTATAATCAACCTCTCCTAAGAGAGTTGCCAGGCCTAGGTTGGGGAATACCTGTAGATTTTGGGGGTGGAGCCTGGGGAGGGGAGGGACCTCAGCAGGTATAATGCCATAGAGTCCACTCTCCGAAGCAGCCATTTTGTCCAGGGGAACTGATTTTGCTGGAACAGAGATCAACTGTAATAGCAGAAGACCTCCAGGTGCCACCTGTACGTTGGCAACCCTGCTTCCCAGAGATGCCACTCCCTGGCGGGATTCAAGCAGCCGCTACACCGACGGGAACGAATCTGTGCATGTTGAACCTCCTCCCCGCCCGCGAGGTTTTCCACAGGCCCGAGGGGCCCCATAAACAGCCATAAAACATGGCTTCCGAGGCAGCAGCGTGTGTGTTTTTTTGCGATGCTGCTGTTGCCAGGCAACCGTGGAAAGCTCACCATTGCTAATCTGACTCTGCATGAGGGAGGACGGAGGAAGGCCCGTGCCGATGGCATCGCTAAGGTTGCTCTGTGAATGGAGAGACGGGTTGGATGCGCTCTGAGTCATTCCTCCGGGGCCCAGGTTCATGTTTTGCGTCGGCGGCTGCAGATGGGAAACAAGAAGGCATTTTCAGTGAGAGGGTTTTTTGAGTGGGGACAGGCCGGGTTTTTGTGTATTTGGGGAAAGGGCAGAATTCCGGCTGTTGTTGTGATCGTTCTTTATTCAGGTGTGAATCAGAACGAATCCGCTCACAAGTTCCAGTTGGCGGTTGCCGGCGAATCAAGAGCTCTGGTAACGTAGCGCATACGACCGCCTCTTTTACCTAAGTAGAGCCGGCAGAATCCCAGGTTGGGAGAAAATGGGCAATCGGAGTTTTGAATTCAAAAGATCACATCAGACGGCGAGGTCGAACAAAGGGGGAGGCGTACACACTCCAGAGCGGTGGGTAAAGGTGGCCGTGCCATTTTATAATCTATTTTAACTAGAAGGGATTCTGTTGTGGGATGCAGAAACGTACAAGCAAAGCCCCGAGTCAGTTGTTGTTTTTACCCGCAGGTGGGAGCTTTGCGAGAATTTAACCAGGCATTTCGCAAAACAGGCAGAAACATTCTAGGTCCTATTGTTTCTTTGTTTACTTTATATCCTGCCTTTGTCCCCAACGGGGATCCAAAGCGGTTTACATCACTCTCCTCTCCTCTTTTTTATCCTCACAACAACCCAGTGAGGTAGGTTAGGCTGAGAAAGGGTGACTGGCCCAAAGGTCGCAGGGCAAGTTTCTGGCAGAGTGGGGATTCGAACTTGGGTTTCCCAGATCCTAGCCCAAACACTAACAAGTACACCACGCTGGCATTTAAATGCTTCCCTGTGACTTCCCTGGCCTGTCCAAGGGCCAGCTTGCTCAGGCTCCCCGTAGCCACGTGGTGCCTGGGCAAGCCAAGGGAAGGCATGGGGGTGTGGCCTATTATGCTAATGAGTTTCTGCTGTTGGGTGTGGCCTGTTATGCTAATGAGTTTCTGCTGTTGGGTGTGGCCTGTTATGCTAATGAGTTTCTGCTGTTGGGTGTGGCCTGTTATGCTAATGAGTTTCTGCTGGGCTTTTTCTACAAAAAAGCCCTGCTCAAGTCTGTGTGATGCAGTGATTAGACTAGGCCTGGAAAGGTTCCAATCCCTGTTCTGCCATGAATACCACTGGGTGACTGTGGGCCAGTCAGCGTCTCTCAACCTAACCTACCTCACAGGACAGCTGTGTGGATGAAAGATAGAAGATGATCTTCTGTGCTGCCTGAGGAAGGATAGATAGTAAAAGGATTCCCCCCCCCCCATACAAATATTGACGAAATGATTTTTGCTCAAAGTTATTAGCATCTTTAAATGCCACCCAGTTATCTGATTTTTATCCCACCCTTCCTCCAAGGAACTCAGGGTGGCTGACAGGTTTCTCTCCACCCCATGTCGCTATCACAACAACCCTGTGAGGTAGGTTAGACTGAGAGAAAATGACTGGCCAAGGTCATTCAGTTGAGCCTCAGGGTGGAGTGGGGATTTGGATTTGTGTCTCTCCATTCCTAACCTCACACTTTAACAACCAACCAATACATGCAGGTAGGCAGCCGTGTTTGGTCTGAAGCAGCAGGACGAATTTTGAGTCTTAACGGTGCCACTGGACTCAAAAGTTGTTCAACCAACACATGAACACTCATCAAATTATGTTTGGCATGTTGTACTTACAGCTGGAAGCAGGGACTGCATATTCTGGTTCGAATCTGCTATCGTTGCCAAGTAAACCAGGTTTCTGTGCAAGATTTGTTGATATCTATAGGCAAGAGAAAATGACTTACGTTTGGAAAAGATGAACTAGGAGGAGGAGGAGAAATTGGATTTATACTCCACCCTTCAATGCTCCCTCTAAGCTATAGAGTCTTCTGAGCAAAAATTCTTCCTTGTGAGCTACTGGCATTAAAGTTGTGAGCGAGTGATTTGGCTACTGCATAAAATTACTTTGCTCTGGAGCCATCCTTCCTGAGCTAAGACAAAAATGTGTGAACCGGAGGCTCAAAAACGGTGAGCTAGCTCACATTAACTCAGCTTAGAGGGAACACTGCTGACAATCCCCTTCCCTTCCCCTCCCAACAACAGACACCCTGTGAGGTAGGTGGGGGCTGAGAGAGCTCTTTCGAGAATTGCTCTGAAAGAACTCGTGACTGACCCAAGGTCACAAAAGCAGCTGCACGTGGAGGAGTGGGGAATCAAACCCGGTTCCTCCAGATCAGAGTCCGTGCTCTTAACCACTGCACCAAACTGGCTCTCCATCCTTTCATAACTCTTATTAGTTCTCTGTCTCTTCCACATGATATCAGTTCATATCTAATTTAACTTGCCACTGGTATTCTGTATGCAGATGCTGAATTTTTGTGCGGGTTCAGAAGGAACTGGGCTGCTGGGCTGTACCACTTCAGACTGTAGGCTGAGCTCCTTCGACTGAATACTTCTTCACAAAAAACAAAAACAAAAACCAACAAAAAACACTCATCCACTAGGGTTGCCAACCTCCAGGTAGTGGCTGGAGACCCCCTGGGATGACAACTGATCTCCAGTTAACAGAGACCAGTTTCCCCCCGGAGAAAATGGCTGCTTTAGAGAGGGGGGTTCTATGGCATTATACCCCATTGAAATCCCTCTCAGGTTCCACCTGGAGCTGGCAACTCTACCCTCCAGACAGAAAACGAACATGGCAGGCAGAAGGGATCTGGCCTCTTTCTCCTTGATAAGCTAGGTTTCTATGGGCAGGGGGATCCCACGGATGAGCGATCTGCCGTACGTGCCCTACACCTGCAGGCTGCAGTGGTATAGAGCACATGCGGCTTCAGCTCCAGGAGATTTGTCATCAAATGTTCTCTCTGTTTTGAAAAACCAAACAACAACTGAGCAGAGCCTAGATTTGCACTTAGGGCCTAGTGGGAGAATGCGCTGAGCCCTCCCATCCCTGCTCGGTTTCAACGATCGAAATTGCTTTCACAGCCCCTCCCCAACAGTGTTGTTCGCCTACAGACGGAGGTCTAATTGCTAAAGTTAGTGATGCGCAAGAAAACTGTCTGCTACGCTGTGGCTGAAAACCAAAACAAAGACGAGATGTGTCGGTTTTTTCTCCAGAGGGGCTGCCAGTGTCCCTGCCTGCTGAAGTGAATATAGCTAATGGTTGCCAACCTCCAGGTGGGAGCCACAAATACGAGATCACGGGAGGAAGTGGAAATCCAAAAACAACATCCGTGACAAAAATAACAAAGAGTCAATAAAGATATGTCGCAAAATCATTTACTGTAGTAATTCTGTAGGAAATTCTCTTCTATAATCGCTCACCTGCTAACAAATGCTGCGCAATGTAAACAATTTGTTTCACAATATTTGCTTTATCTGAGCATGTAGCAATCACAATTCTTATCAATTACTACTTATCAACTCTTGAAGGAAACATTCCATGTTGACTCTCTAATAACAGAACCCAAGGTCTTCACAATGTATTAGCTGGATTCTAGAAGCCAAACATAAAGTTGGGTTCTGTTATTAGAGAGTCAACATGGAATGTTTCCTTCAAGAGTTGATAAGTAGTAATTGATAAGAATTGTGATTGCTACACGCTCAGATGAAGCAAATGTTGTGAAACGAATTGTTTGTATTGCGCAGCACTCGTTAGCGTGTGAGCGATTATAGAAGAGCATTTTCTACAGAATTACTATAGTAAATGATTTTGCAACATATCTTTATTGACTCTTCGTTATTTTTTGTCACGGATGTTGTTTTTGGATTTCTTCAACCTCCGGATGGGGGCTGGAGATCTCATGGAATTACAACTGTTCTCCAGACTGCCAAGAGAAAATGACTACTTTGGAGGGTGGACGATATGGCATTACACTCCTCTGAGGACACTCTAGGTTTCTCTCCTCCACATGTTAGTATCACAACAACCCTGTGAGGTAGGTTGGACTGAGAGAAAATGACTGGCCAAGGTCATTCAGTTGAGCCTCAGGGTGGAGTGGGGATCTGAATGTGTGTCCCCAAACCCTGCCTTCCCCAGGCTCCATCCCAAAAACAAGAAACCAAGGGTACACAGATTGTGGGGTTATTCACTGACAACAGGGATAGTGTAATAGGGCTAATAGAATGTGCATCCTTGAAGTGACCAGTTCCCTGTTTTTAAAAATAAATAAAACTTAGGTGATGTTCCTCCAGAACCCGGCTGGGGATGAAATGCACTTTCTCCGAAAGGTTTACTCCAAAATCAGCAGCTTGAGGATTCCACCTTTAAAAAGAGCAGGGGTCATGTCCTGCGGGAGCGCACAGAAGCAGAGCTCCGGCAGCAAGGAGCCCAGGGGGCGGGCACATGCAACAAGCCCTGCCCCCTGCTCCCAGCAGCCCTCAGTCAGGCCACAAGGAGCAAGAAGCAGCTAGGTAAGTTGCAGAGTTCCCGTTCCGCCCCCACCTGCCTTTAGGTAGAAGCTCTCCCTCCTCTGCGAGGACAGATCTGCATGCCCCCCCCCAATAGCTAGCAATCCAAAACAGTCCAGTGGAGCCTGAGCGGTGGGTGTTGCCTTCTGACACACTTCCGGTGATGTCAGGGGGAGTGGCATATGCAAATAAGTTATGCTAATGAGCTCCTGCACCTCTTTTCCTACGAAATCAACCCTGAAAAAGAGGAAGGGATTCAGGAGTCCTCAAAATAAGAGGATCCTCCTGGCCACTCCTGGCTGATGGCCACCAAAGAAGCAGCAGCCCAAATAGCGGTTCAACAAGCATTAAATACTCACTGAGTACATTCTGCTGTTTTGCCCTTGCTCTGATAGTCCATAATACACTGTATTAGGTGGTGGTTCTCATCCAACATCTGCATGAAAGGGGAGAGAGAAAGAAAGAAAGATCAAAGAAATAAAAAAGATCAAAGAAAAAAGATCAAAGAAAGAAAAAAGATCAAAACAAAAACATGGAGGTTTTTATCCTTTTATTATGCAAAACTTTCTGCAGTCTTTGTTTCCCACATGATCTTTACGCATGTGTATCAATCGCTGTTAAAATGCTCGGGAATGGTGAACACGTGAAGCTGACTTAAACTGGATGAGAGCATCCGTCTGTCAAGGTCAGGATCTTCTCCTCAGGCTGCAGCTGGTCTCCAGGGTCTCCGGTCTTTCGCGTCACTTCCTGCCAGATCCTTTTAACTGGAGAGGCCGGGGACTGAACCTGGGACCTCCTGTGCTACGCCAAGCAGAGGCTCTACCACTGAGCCATGCGCCACTCCCCCCCCCTGCCCCGAATGAACACGTAAATGGAATTAGTCAGTGGAAGAAGTGATCTCATAATTAAATCATGCCCTAAAGCGATGCCTCCACCAGGGGTGCAGAACACTCTCCTGAATAATTTTATTCCCTAAGGAGTTTGGTTGTGGGCAACGCTCCCTCTAAGCTGTGGAGTCTTGTGAGCAAAAATTCTACTTTGTGAGCTACTGGCACTAAAGTTGTGAGTGAGCGAGCGATTTGGCTGCTGCATAAGATTAGTTTGCTCTGGAGCCACCCTACCTGAGCTAAGACAGAAATGTGTGAGCTGGAGGCTAAAAAACTGTGAGCTAGCTCACACTAACTCAGCTTAAAGGGAACACTGGCTGTGGGGCGTTTTTTCCCTCATCAAAAGAAAATAAGACTAAAGGGGGGGTATGATAGAGGTTTATACAATTATGAATGGGGTGGAAAAGCGGACAGAGGAAACTTTTTCTCCCTCTTCCTTGATAATAGAATACGCAGGCCCACTATGGATTCGGTGGGCAGAAGATTCACGCCGAGCGAAAGGAATCCTTTGCAGAGTACAATATTAACTTGCGGAACTCACTGCCACAGGATGGGCACTAGGTTAATTGGCTTTGAAAGGGATTTGGATGCACTCATAGAAGAGAGGTCCATTGGTGGATATGAGCCACAATGGCTCAATGGAACCTCTGTGTTCAGAGGCAGCGTACCTGTGAATAACAATGAAGAAGAGAAGAAGAAGAGATTGGATTTATACCCCGCCCTTCACTACCCAAAGGTGTCTCAGAGCGGCTTACAATCTCCTTTCCCTTCCCCTCCCCACAACAGACACCCTGTGAGGTAGGCGGGGCTGAGAGAGCTCTGACAGAAACTGCTCTTTTTTCAAGGACAGCTCTTATCAGAACTACGGCTTGCCCAAGGTCATCCAGCAGTTGCAAGTGAAGGAGTGGAGAATCAAACCCAGTTCTCCCAGATTAATGCCGGGGGACAGCAATGGGGGAAGCCTTGATCTCCATGCCCTGCTTGTAGGCTTTTTGGGCATCCAGTTGGCCACTGTGTGGAACAATATGCTAGAACAGATGGGCCACGGGTAGGGTTGCCAAGCTCCTAGTGGTGCCTGGAGATCTCCCGGATTTACGACTGATCACCGGATTAGAGAGACGAGTTTCCCCGGAGAAAATGGCCGCTTTGGAGGGCAGACTCTATGGCATTATACCCTACTGGGGTCCCGCCCCTCCCCAAACCCCGCCCTCCCCAGGCTCCACCTCCAAAATCATGTATTTCCCAACCCATAGCTGGCAGCCCTATAACCCAGGCCCGTAGCCAGGATTTTTTAGTTTGGGGGGCCTTTTAAAAAGTCAGGGGGTAGCGAAATTCGGACGCAACCCCCACACGCTGCCCCCCCCAAGCATTTAAAGGGTCCCTTTAAATGCTTTGAGGGGAAAGCCAGGAGAGCCGTGCGCGCCTGCACTCCGAGCCATGAATTCGCAGCTTGGAGTGCAGGTGCGCACAGCCTCCCCTGACTCCTCCCCAAAAGTCGTGGGGCCCTAGGAAGAAGTCAGGGGGGCAGGCCCCAGGAGGCCCCATTGTAGCTAAAGGCCTGCTATAACCACTCTCCACCACGCTGGCTCTCAAAACTGGTGGTTGGTCCATCTAGCCCAGTATTTCACCTGGCAGCCGGTCTCAGCAAAGGTCTTTCTCAGTCCTTTGCAGCGGAAGATGAAAAGGACCGAGCCCGGAGCATTCTGTGTGCGGAAAGTATGTGGCATGGGCTTCTGAGCAGGTGAAGGTTCTGTGGAGGGAGAGGCTCCATGTCGCAAAGTTCTGTGCAGGGTGCAGATCACATCTGCACACTCTCCTCCCCCCCCCATAGGGCCCTTATCAATGTAGGTCAAGCTAGCCAATATTACGATTGGAGTGCTGGCTGTGCTTCAGGCTGCCAATCTCCAGGTGGGGACTGGAGCTCTCCCGCAATTGCAATCGATCTGCAGGCTACAAAATTCGCCAATTAATTAAAACGTTTCCCCACTTCTCTGCGCAAACGGCCGCTTTGGAAGGGGGAGTCCATGGCATTATACCCTACCAAGGTCCCTCCCCTCCCTAAATCACTCTCCCAGGCTCCACCCACAAACCTCCAGGTATTTCTGAACCCAGAGTGTGCAACCCACATTTTGCCCCTCATGCAACTTTGTGCTTAGCACAACAGCACCACAACTCGTGACATGATTGAACGGCAGTCATTCGTTCATTTGAAAGACCAGCTCCTCCCATGTGTCCCTGTGTGCCAACTGCAGTCATCAGACAGTCATTCGTTGGCTATCCCGCCACTTTGGGTGGCCCAGTTGGCATGGACCAGAGGCAGGGCCTTTTCCGTCATGGCTCCGGCTTTGTGGAACAGGATTGCTGAAGAGCCACTCCTTGGAGATCTCCAGAAGGCGCTGCAAGGCCTGCCTATTTGTCAGGGCTTTCGAGGGAGTATCTTTTCAGGGTGGAAGAGGGGTAAGAGATTGGGAGATCTGAGAGACTGACCTGATGCTCCAGAAAGGGAACCACTGAGGACTGATTATTGAATTATTGAGAGCCAGTTTGGTGTAGTGGTTAAGTGTGTGGACTCTAATCTGCGAGAACCGGGTTTGAGTCCCCACTCCTCCACTTGCACCTGCTGATGTGACCTTGGGTCAGTCACAAGCTCTGGCACAGCTGTCCTTGAAAAAGAGCAGTTTGTATCAGAGTTCTCTCAGCCTCACCCACCTCACAGGGTGTCTGTTGTGGGGAGGGGAAGGGAAAGGAGTTTGTAAGCCGCTCTGAGACTCCTGAGACTCCAAGTGAAGGGCGGGGTATAAATCCAATCTCCTCCTCTTCCTCTTCTTCTTCTTCTTCTAATCTGGAGAACAGGGTTTGTTACCTCACTCCTCCACATGAAGCCTGCTGGGTGACCTTGGGTCAGTCACAGTTCTCTCAGAGCTCTCTCAGCCCCACCTACCTCACAAGGTGCCTGTTGTGGAGAGAGGAGAGGAAGGGGAGGAGATTGTAAGCTGCTCTGAGACAACTTTGGGTAGTGAAGAGCAGGATATAAAACCAACTCTTCTTCATTTATTTATGCCCTGACTTTCTCCCCGATGGGGACCTGAAACAGCTCACATTGTTCTCCTCTCCTCTGCTCTATCCTCACAACCGCCCTGTGAGGTAGGTTGTCACATTGTTCTCCTCTCCTTTATCCTGACAACCGCCCTGTGAGGTAGGTTAGGATGAGATCGTGTGACTGGCCCAAGGTCACCCGGCAAGCTTCCATGGCACAGGGAGGACTCGAACCTGGGCCTCCCAGATCCTAGTCTGACGCTTTCACCGCTACACCAGACTGGCCACAGAACTTTTCCTTGTCTCTGTGCTGCTAATAGGGCTGCCCGGCCGGGTTCCCCTGCCCCCCCAGCCACCAGCAGAGGATGGGGGGGGGTAGAGGTTTGCCAGATCCAGGCTGGGGAAATCCTGGAGTTTTGGGGATGGAGCGTGGGAAGGACAGAAACCTCAGTAGGGTACGATGGCACAGAGCCCACCCTCGAAAGCATCCACTTTCTCCAGAGGAACTGACCTCTGTAGTTTGGAGATGTACTCTAAGTCTGGGAGATCCCCAGGTCCCACCTGGAGGCCGGCACCCTTAGGTGCGAACCTCCAGGTGGGGCCTGGAGATCTCCCAAAATTACAACTGATCTCCAGGCAACAGAGATCAGTTCCTCTGGAGAAAAGGGCTGCTCTGGTGGACTATATGGCCTTGTACCCCGCCCAGGACCTGCCCCTCCCTAAACCCAAGGAGGAGGAGGAGGAGGAGGAGGAGGAGATTGGATTTATACCCTGCCCTTCACTACCCAAAGAAGTCTCAGAGCGGCTTACAAACTCCTTTCCCTTCCCCGCCCCACAACAGACACCCTGTGAGGTAGGCGAGGCTGAGAGAGCTCTCTCTCTCTCTCGAACTGCCGTTGAGAGAACAGCTCTGAGAGAACTTGTGACTGGCCCAAGGTCACACCAGCAGCTGCACGGGGAGGCATGGGGAATCGAGCCCGGTTCTTCCAGATCAGAGTCCGCGCGCCTAACCACGACACCAAACTGGCTCTCCAAATCTCCAGGCTCTGCCCCTGCAAATCTCCAGGTACTTCCCAATCCTGAACAGGCAGCCCTATGCTTTGTTGCCCGGTTGACAAGCAAAAGAATATCAGCTCTGCCATCGGGAAAAACGGGAGACGTGCGCAAGTACGCATCCCTCTAGAATTCTGTGCCAGAAGGGCCAGCTGTGCCTTGCGACAAGTAGGCGCTGCAAAGATCGGTCTTCTTGCTACAGAGACACTTCTCCGCGTTAAGCATGCTGGGGGTAGCGGCCGGAGGAACAGCCATATGGAGAACAGCTTGAAATCTGCGTGGATGACGATACCGATGCTGCAGTCCAAAGGAGCATTACATCCTCCATGCGTCCATGCCTCCTCGGAGAAATCCCCGCCCCCGAGAAGAAAGATTTTGCCGAACTGTGCTTCGGTGAAATGACGCTTAGGAGCAACTCAGAAGCTATGATTGAAAGATCTCTGCCTCAGGCCATATTCTA